CGCCGCCTGGACTGCCTGCGCGGCCGCCGCCCGTCCCCGCCCCAGGGCAGGGACGCCGGGGTTCACGCCCCCGGAGACTTTGCCCCGGCTTTGTGCAACGCTGGGGCAGGGGTGGGGCCGTGCCGCGCTGGGCCCGGCATGGTATGCAGAGGACCTGGAGAAGGGGCAGCAGCGACCCCCCGGGCGGGGCGGGAACAGCTGGGGAAACCATTCGGGGGCACCGGAGCACGGGGCGGCAAGCCACTGACGCCGAGCGCCGCGGTCGCTGCGCCTGCGCGAGAGCACTCGCGGGTCTGTTTGCGGGACGCGTACCTATGGCTGCGGAGGCAGGGGGCTGGAGGCCGTATTCTCCAGATAACTGCCGCAGCAGCGTGCAGACCCTCCTCCCCTTGTAACAGGTGGCTGGTTGAACAGTTACGGTATATAAGGGACTGCTCTTTTGGTCTCTTGCAGCGGGTGTCAAAGCCCTTCAATGTGGATCAGCAGTAACCATACAACAAATCTTTTATTATGCGATGCCTCGGACCTTTTACACTTTCTGAACCCAGAAAACACTAAATAATACTTTCTTCACTGATCAAAGAATTTGTTTCTTTTCCTTTTTTTTTTTTTTTTAAGAGATTTTTGCTATAAGGCACGTGCACTTGCCAGAGAGAGACTGAAAGCGAGAAATCCACCCCCCAGGGGGGATGGCCACTCCACAGTCTTCTCCATTCTTCCCTTGGGATCTTGGGCAGGAACGCACACGTGCATGCTCGGGGTGAGTTTAAGCCTCCGGGTCCCGGACTCAATCACTATCCACTACCTGGGCGTCCTGCAACATAGCTTTTACGCCATCTGCTGGTCCCGAATTTGTTTGATTAAGAAAAATACTGACCTATCTCAAAGTTAACAGCATAATCAAGCAACTTGTGGGTTGTCGAAAGTGCAAGGTGTTTGGAGCTGTAGAAACTTGAGTGCCAATTCTTAACTGTGGACTCTTGAGCAGTTTAGATGATTTCTCTAAACCTAATCTGCCCATTTCTATAGATGTAAAGGTAATAGGGAACTACTGTTTTTCAGTAAATGATAGCCATTGTTATGTAACAGAAACATATCATTATTATTGGTTTTAAAAATTACATACCTACTTTTTTCTTAAAGAATTATTTTATTTATTTATTTATTTTAATTTGACCATAGAGGGACAGAGAGACAGAGGGAAAGTGAGAAAGCAAGCCACCAAGTCCAGGACTCAAATGGCGATCTCCATGTGGGAGTCCAGTGCTCTTAACCACCATGCCACCTGCTGGCCCCTGTACATACTTTTAATAGCAGTAAATAAGAACTTTGAATTATCTCACAAAATTGTCTATTTTTTTCGTGTTGAATTGTAAAATATATATAACATAAAATTTACCATTTTAACCCTTTTCGAATGTACAGTTTAGTGACAGTAACTACATTTACATTATTGTGTAACCATCGCCACTCATCCAGGCGCTTCACATCCCAAACTGAACTGCTACCCATTGGACAGTCAGCTCCATTTCCCACTCCGCCCCCTTTCCCAATAACCAGTGTGGTTCCACTTTCTGCCTGTGAATTTGAGCGCTCTAGATATCTCACATAAAGGGAATCTTACCCTGTGTCCTTTTGTACTGGATTATCTCATTTAGCATAACATTTTCAAATCCCTTCCCTATCACGGTATACGTCATAATTTCTTTTCAAAGCTGAATAATATTCCATTGTGTGTATGCAATTGATCTGTATTTTAAGTTATTCTGGGAACATGTATTTTCTTCTAATGTTCTTTGGGAAAAACTAGCACACAAGGTGAAATTCTGTTTTTAACTTTATTACATTTAATCACTGTACAGTTTTGCAGTATACAAAATGAGCTTTCCCAGCATGAATACACTGTATATTAGTCCAGTCAAAGATATTGCCATACAGATTTGTCATCAATAGATAATTTTCCAGTTTTGTGTCCATTAAATGTTTTGCTCCTGGGTGAGATTCTTAATATGGCCTATGAAGTCCTAGGTGAGGAACTATTCATATTTTTCCCCAAAAGCTGTAGCTAAATCAATTATGTGGCTTCATGCTTCTGTGTCTTCACTCCTATTAGTGTCTTTCTCCCCTCCTGTCTCCTGAAGAACTTGCTTTTCTTTTCCTTCAGTATTCAGGGCAAAACACTGTCTCTCTCTGGGTGACCTTACTCTTCACACTGCCCCTTCCTGCCCTCCACAGAATGGACAGCTCTCTTTTATGCCCCTCCCATCTCAGCTTTGTGTAGTCCCTTTATAGACTTTCTTTGTACCGTTATAATAAAATACCTGCGATTAAAACCGAGTAATTTACAAAAATCAAAAACTCATTTTCTTACAGTCTGGAGGCTGGAAGTTCAAAATTGAGGGACCAGCAACTTGGGTGTTTGGTGAGCGCTGCTCTCTGCTTCCAGGATGGTGCCTTGAACACTGCATCTTCTCAAGGGGATGAACACTGTGTCCTCACATTGCAGAAAAGATGGAATGTTAAAAAGTGATGAATGCTATATGAAAAGCTTCTTTTTTTGAGAGAGATTTTTGCTATAGGGCATGTGTACTCTCCAGAGAGACAGAGAAAGTGAGAAATCACCCCCCGGGGGGGATGGCCACACTACAATCCCTTCTCCATTTTCCTCTAGGAATTTTGACATGCACACATATACACCTGCCGAGAGTTTCGAGCTGCTGGGTCCAGGATGCGAACAATTGGCCATGTGGGAGTCCAGCACCTCAACTACTGAGCCAGCTGCTGGTCCCAAAAGCATCATGTTTTATAAGGCACTAATCCCATTCATGAGAACCCTAAAGCCATGACTTAAGCACTCTCTAAAGGCTTTACCTCTTTTTTTTTTTTTTTTTTTTTTGTAGAGAGATTTTTGCTATAGGGCTCATGTGCTCACTGGAGAGAAAAAGACAGAGAAAAGGCAAGAAATCACTCCCTGGGCATATGGCCACACCACAGTCCCTTCTCCTTCATGGGGATCCTCTTGGGATTTTTGGGCACGCATGTACATGCCCTTTCTAGCCTCTGGGTCCAGGACTCAAACCATGGTCGACTATGTGAGAGTCTAGCCACGTAACCAATACGCCATCTGCTAGTCCCAGGGCCCCCCACCTCTTAGTACTATTATATTAGCAATTAAGTTTTAACATATGAGTTTGGGGGGATACATTCAGGTCATAGCATACAGGCTCCGATTATGTGTTTACACATCATTCTTTTTGACTAGCTGTAAGCTCCTTGAGACAAAGGCAGACGGGTTTCTAGCACAGCTTAGATGGTTTTTGAATGAATCAATGAATGGTATAACTAACAACAAGGAAAATGACCAAATTTCTTCCTTGGCTGCTAGCAGCAAACAAACAAACAAACAAACCAGACTGCTATATTTCAGGAAATATTCTTTGTGAAAAAACAATTATAAGGGGCCAGCAGGTGATGTGGCGGTTAAGAGTACTGGACTCCCACATGGCTGACTGTTGTTCTAGTCTCAGACCTAGTGGCTGGCTTTCTCACTTTCCCTCACTCTGTCCCTCTCTGGTCAAATTAAAATAAATAAATAAATAAAATAAAGTTCAATAAAATAATTCTTCAAAAAAAATTGGAAAAGTAACAAAAGGAAATACATATATATCTATATACATACAAATACTTAACATGCAAATACATATGTGTGTATATGTATCTTTCTATGTACACATACATATATTAATATTTACATAGGTTTTATGCATTTTTTACCATATCTGAATAGAACCAGGAAAAAACACTGACTCTCAAGCCAGATGCTGCCTCTGACAAGTGCTAGTTTTATGACATTGGTTAAGTTATGGGGCATCACTGTGCTTCAGTTTCCTCATCTGAAGAACGAGATAGCTGTAGTACCCACTTCATCAGATAGTGGTGAGATTTCAATGCCCTGTACACTAATGTGTTTCTTAACATCCTGATGATGAAATCATCTTCAGGACTCTCTCTTAGAAGTACTTAAGAGATGAATATGTAGATTACTCATGATAAACACACTTTGACATTCCTATCTGCCCAACCTTGGGATTTCTTTTTCCATGTTATAATGGAAGAATGCTGGTGTTTCAACCTCATTAAACAGAGGTCACCTTTGAGACCAAGTCTCAGTCAGCCAACATATTAAACTATTTGAGTAGTTCTTTTTTTTTTTTTTTTCCAAAGAATTATTTGTTTATTTAATTCCATTTGTTACTATTTTTTCTTTAATTTGCCCAGACAGACAGTGAGCAAGAGAGAAAGGGAAAGTGAGAAAGTCAGGTCCAGGACTTGAACTGTGGTCGACCATGTGGGAGTCTAGCACCTTTATCCATCACACCACCTGCCGGCCCCTTGTTTGAGTACTTCCACCTGCATGAGCTAACACCTGAAACCAGAAACCCTGGCAAGTACATACATGTCAATATATTGGCAGAATGTAGTATTACAGTTCATTTTTCTTTAACCCCAGTTCTACACATATTCTCAGGTATGTGCTGATATAAATTAGGAACATTTTGCAATTCTTTTGGTTTATAAGTTGC